TCGGAACTGAATGTGCTGCAGTTTTGTCAGAAAATGCATTCTGTGCTGGTGCAGCGTTGCGTTGCAATGCTGTCTGTCGAACAACTACAGTCTCCAGCTCTTTAACTGCTGCAGTGTGTGTGTGTGTGCGTGTGTGTTTGTGTACGCCGGTGTAGCCACTTATAAGAGTGCTGATTGCGTGCGATGATGGCATGATTTAGTATCTTTCTCTCTCTCTTTCTCAGTGGTTCTGCAGTGAGCTATGATGATGACATTTCTGTCCTCTCCTCTCTGTGTGTCAGTCGTACACTGAGCTGTGATTATCCCGATGCTTGGGTCTGGATTAGCAGGCTAGCAGTGGAGATTCCAGGGGGAAGGGATGAAATATCTCACATGTTTATGATACCTCTGCTTCCCTTAAAATGAATACACTTGAGTAGGAATGCAGAGGAGGAATGTATTAGAGTATCTGATGCGATATGCCTTTTAAATACATCCAGGGTGTAATATATAAATTGAAAATGAGAATTAATAAGTATTAACGTTGCATTAAAATGATCATTAATAGTAGTCAAAAGTGTACTAGTATTTTTGTAGGTTTTAATGGCTCTCAGCCACTCTTAAGAACAACCCAACCTTTATCTTTTATTTATCTATTTCTGTATATCTATGTAATATACACATATACATAAATTAGGAACAGATTAAAAGAAAGTAAATAGATCAGAAATTTAGTTGTCAATTAAACATGTCAATATACAGTATATGATGGTTCATACTACAAAAATGTGACAAAAATACAAAGTATATAATATAATATAATAAGGAAAGCATAATTAATGCTGCATGAAAAAAAGAAAGTAAATAGATCAGAAATTAGTATGTTTCATGTCAATAAACATGATCAATTTGAATCATGACAGTTCCTTCTAGAAAATGTTGCAATACATTGCATTGCAAAATTTGCAGTCAAGAGTATATTTAAAAAATGTTACCATGTGTGTTTATGTGATAGATAACAAAAATCTAACCTTCACCATGAGAATCAGTCCAAAAACAACCAGTCCTGCAACAGTACTAGACTGAAAATATGACTGGCACATGATGTGTTCACACACACACACTAAATGTGTGTGTTTGTGTGGAGGTCTTTTTAGGTCAGTTTCAGGAATTGAGTCTGGCATCTCGCTCTGATGGAAATATGTGTGTATGTGTGTCTAAGACTAGTTCATCCCAGTCTTAGAGCTGTGTTATTAGGGTAGGTTCAGGATAATCCATTCACTCAAAAGAGGATTGAAACGTTGATCAGGTTTTGATGACTTAGATTCAGACCACTGTGTATACTGATGTCTGTACTGGAAGACTTAGTGTACTGGATTTAGTGTGTCCGAGTTGTAAGTAGCCAGCGAAATATTCTAGAGATTAATTTCATTATTATTAAGAGGAGAGGAGCACATAATTTTCCCTCTTTTTGTCAGGCCATTATGAGGTCTCTCCGGGCTGTGGCCTACATCTCCACAATCACAATCATAAATAGGAAAAAATGAAAATGAAGAGCAAGATAGAGGTTTGATTTTAGAGGTCTGTCGAGTGCATCTCTCTCTCTCTCTCAATGAATGAATGAATAAATAAATAAATAAAAATAATTCAGGTAAACTAAATTAATAACTAAAACTAACGCAACTAGTAAAACTAAAAACTAGTATACTGAAACTAAAATGAAACAAAACCCTATGAAAAAAAATTACTTGTTTTAGTATCATTGAGATACTATTATATTTTTCAATCAATACTTTACATTAGTTTTTATTTATAGATTTGCTATTTTCATTTTAATTTTAGATAAAGTTTTAGTCATTTTTTGTTTTTATAATTTTTTTTCTCATATTTTTATTTCAGTTTTAGTTTTAGTTATACATCAAGTTAAACTAAAAGAAAATGAAAAACATGCAGTCATAAAATAATAAATAATACAATAATACGTTTGTTTTTAATGTTTTATTTTAGTTCATGTTTATTTCATTTCAAGTAATGAAAATGTTTTTTAATGGTTTCAGCTTTAGTTAACTATAATAACTCTGACTTAAAAATAAATTAAATGTTAACTGAAATACAATTTTTATATAAAATGTATATACAATTTAAAGTAATATAAAACCCTTTGTTTCAAAAAAAACTCTAGAATCAGTGACATTTCATGATAATGACATCCAAACTGGAAAAAGGTGCTTGCTTATTCATTCATTGCTCCATGGAAAAAAAAATAACAATAACAGCATTCAGGTTTGGAAAAACATGAGGATGAGTAAATAATGACTATAAAATAATAATAATTTTCAAGTCTCTTCAAGAAAACTAAAGGCCCATTTAAACTGAAAGAATGCAGGATGGATGACAGTGAAGCGAAAAGGATGCATGAGAAGAAGCTGTTGAGGGTCGGGGTCCAGGGAAGATTGAGAGATGGAGGGAAGTGAATGAATGAAAGAAAGACTGGAACATGGGGAGAGAGCGATGGAAAAGTGCATAAGAGTTGTTAATCTCTTTCTCTCTGTTGCTCTGTGTCCTGCTGCCCGTCCATATGGCTGCATATATGTGTGTGAGAGAATGAAAATGAAAGAGGAGATTGGGTGCAAGGTGACTGACACATGCCGTCATTCATATAATGGGATGGTTGGATTAAACAATAACCTCTGGATTGCTGTTATTGTGGCTGCATGGTTTATGTGTGAGTCTGTCAGGACAAAGGCATGGCTTATGACTTCAGACCACAGACTGCTGCTTTATCTCTAGCAGGAAAGCCTGTTTTAATTAACATCTGCCTAAGCCCATTAACGAAGGAACAGACAAGACCATTGTGTCGCATCTTTTTCTTTGTCTCAGACTCTCTCTTTCTCTCTGCATACAAACACACTGCACAGCACTGTGCAATCTTAACTAATATTATTATTGATATTAATATTGTTCTTATATTAACACAAATAGTATCATTTGCTACAGTGTTCAGAGTTCACTGAGGACTGTTTGGTCAACGCTGGAAAAAAAATATTTTCTTAATCAGTATTTTTTTAAAGCAAAAACTCACTTAACTGTTTTTTTTTTCAGAAAACAAAACTTAATATCTTGTCATTTTGATTCTCAAGTAAATATCTGTTGTTTTGTGTTTTGTTTTTCATTTTGTTTAATTTTCCAACAAACAAAAATCAACGACCCTTCATGAACCTGCCATTTACTTTTCTTCTCTCTCCACTTAGAGAAGAGTAAAACTTGGCTTTTTTAGACATGCAACTCACTTAGGAGACTCTTCTTCACAACTTTATGAATGATGTAAGCGTTTAGACTGACAGACTCAAATCACGGGGGAAAGATCTTGAAGTGAATTATCCCAACTCAGCTGACCACTGGTTGGTCTCCATGGAGCCTCTTTTTGTTATATAATATAAGGAGATGATGTTTCCCTCTCAGGTAATCACACAAATTGCTTTTGGTGGCCACAGAAAAGGCAAAGAGTGTCTTTCATTGACTATACAGTTCTTACAAGTTAGCTGTAAATGACCCCATCCATCCATCCATCTATCCATCTTTCTATCAGTTGTCTGTGGGTCTGTCTGTCAAGTAGTAGTTGTCATCACAAAAAACTCCTAAGCCATAATTTTATCCTGACACATTGTCAATCGACCAGCATGAGGCAGGACTTGAGATCTTTCATCAGTACTGTAACAGAAGCTGATTGAAAGCAGCCGTTGCTCTTTTAGGGTGGTTATTAAGTTTGCACACCTGAGGCACTCCAATCAGTGGTCAGTAATAAGTGAGATATACGGCCAGTGTCAAGCTCTCTGCCACACATACCTTTTCTCTCTTTCTCGCTCTTGTGGCTTCTATGAGGGTGAAGACAGGCATGAATACTAAGACAAAATGCTTTATTTTAAACCAGGTCCCCAAGGCATGGCATCTGTCCTGTATGTGTCCACCCATTGATTTATCTCTTCACAGCCAGCCCTCAGAGAGAGAGCTCTGCTCCAGCAGCCACCATAATAGTGCCATCATTCACTTTACAATTGTTTGAGATGATTTCATTGTTTTCTTGTTAGTATAGGACTACAACTTTTATCCAACTGTTTAGTATTGATGAAATTACCCAATTACATCAAGTGCGCAACTGGGAAGTCTGTCTCTATCTATCTATCTATCTATCTATCTATCTATCTATCTATCTATCTATCTATCTATCTATCTATCTATCTATCTATCTATCTATCTATCTATCTATCTATCTATCTGTCTGTCTGTCTGTCTGTCTACTATCCACCTCTGGGTAGCCCTGCCCACACTGAAACCTCATTGGTCCAAAATAAAACATCAAATATCTTCTGTCTGGATGTGATTGGGTCACATTGTACAGCAGTTTCTAAGTTTTCATTCAGTGTGGACGGGCAAATTGCTTATCGCCAGATAGGACAGTGTGAAGCTCAGATTCAGAATGGAGGAAAACCTGTGACCTTCTGTGAGGGTTTACTTGGGTTTACTCACTGTCTTTGTGTGTGAACATAATGACATTTGAGGAATGCTCTCGAGTACAGATTGAAGCCGCATGTCTATTTCTGGATGTGTTCATATGTAATCTACACTAGCATCTGCCTGTCAGTGTGCATGAGTACAGTAAGGTCATAAAGAGATAGCTTTAGCACATGATTAGTTTTGAAAGGTAAGGAATCTCATTTCAAAGGTGAGGTGTTTTATATTCTAGTCTTTGTGTTCGTTTGCCATGCTTCCAGGGGTGAAACTTCTTTGTTTGTTAGTCTCCTCTGCGACAATGCAGCATAATATATCAGCAACACAAGAATGTAGACTCACAAAAATCAATTACAAGTCCAAATACACCCTCTTGTAACAATGTAATTATTCAGTCTCCTCTATGTGACTTTGCTTTCCTAATTGGCACATAGATGATGACACGTTCATTGTAAGGTAATGAATCTTGCTGACCTAGTTGTCGGTGTGTGTGTGTGTGTGTGTTTTCACAGGTGTAAAGGAGCGTCACATTATGGGCTCTCCGCAGAGAGAAAGCGGCGCTCTCAGGAGGGAGACTGCACAGACAGCACCTCAGAGCTCACTGTGGCAGCACTGCCCGGAGAGGGATGCCCCTCCTCCGCTATCGCCCTCCTATCAGACGAGTCCGGCCTGGTTAACCCTGCCTATGAGCCCAGTGTGGAAGATAACAGCCAATCCGGGAGCACCACCAGCCTGGCAGCACGCAGCGGTTCGAGGAAGAGTGAGTGTGAGTGCACACATTGTGCTTGTGTGTATTTGTCTAAATATTATATTTATAATACAAATCTATCTATATGTATTTATATAGTATAATATAATTTTATATGTATAATTTATATACATATTAATGTTAAATATAATTTTTTTGGTGACTTAAATATTACTTTTATTATATATTTATTTATATACAATACAATGACATTTATAATTTTTTTTATTTTTACATTTTAGAACAAAAACTACATTTTGAAAATTTAGAACAAATTCAGAACAAAATGTTATATATATATATAACTTTTTTTGAATGAAAAAGGTAATTTTACCATTGAGGATATCCTTCACATATAACTATAAATCTTTGTCTTTTCCTCCTTCATATTTACTGAGACAGTTAATCTGACTAATGTACACATTGTTCAAAGTCGCCCTCTGTGCCACTTATGTAATTTTACGCAAAAATCTATTCAAACTGCATGTCTGAAAAGGCTCAGCTAAGACACACAATTGACACTGCAGTTAAAGAAATAAAGAGGAAGATATAGAGAAAGAGAAGAGTTCAAATATGCCTTATAAAATACTTTATGAAGCCTGTTCCTGACCTCCACAAATTAGTTCAGATATGTTTCATTTTCTGACATCCCTTTGAAACGTAAAGCCTGGAGAATGGGGACAATAAATGCTGCTGCACCAGCATGTCTAGCTTTGGGACTGGAAACAGTGTGACACTGCAGCTGAACAAGCTGTCTGCCTCCAATCCGACCAATGCTTCCGTCAGAACTTTGTCCATCAGGACAGAAAGACTGAAAGAATTGAGCAATGAGACAGAAAAAGTGTTTTAACCTTTACAGACCCAGCAAGTTTTGACACAGACTCTCAACTTCTAATAAATCCACAATTATAATAACTAACTTTAGGAACATAAAACAAACTTAACGGATCATTAGTTTGTCAAACACTCTGTAAGTTTTATATATTTTCTCCACTGATCACCTGTAGGGTGTTTAAAAATCTTGGATGTATCGAAATATTAAAAGCTTGTATATAATATAGTTTTGTTTTTGTCTGAAACTTTCATCTGTGATGACTTAAGTTACACAGACATGCAGAAAAAAGTGTCCTGCATTTTCTGTGCTGATTCAGGTCTGACCTGAAGAAGTTATAATCTTACTGCAGTGTCCACAATACAGCACCAGCAGGTGCTTCTTACTTCAGATGTTCATTGCTTGGCCTGCAGGTGTATGGGCTCTCCGCAGAGAGAAAGCGGCGCTCTCAGGAGGGAGACTGCACAGACAGCACCTCAGAGCTCACTGTGGCAGCACTGCCCGGAGAGGGATGCCCCTCCTCCGCTATCGCCCTCCTATCAGACGAGTCCGGCCTGGTTAACCCTGCCTATGAGCCCAGTGTGGAAGATAACAGCCAATCCGGGAGCACCACCAGCCTGGCAGCACGCAGCGGTTCGAGGAAGAGTGAGTGTGAGTGCACACATTGTGCTTGTGTGTATTTGTCTAAATATTATATTTATAATACAAATCTATCTATATGTATTTATATAGTATAATATAATTTTATATGTATAATTTATATACATATTAATGTTAAATATAATTTTTTTGGTGACTTAAATATTACTTTTATTATATATTTATTTATATACAATACAATGACATTTATAATTTTTTTTATTTTTACATTTTAGAACAAAAACTACATTTTGAAAATTTAGAACAAATTCAGAACAAAATGTTATATATATATATAACTTTTTTTGAATGAAAAAGGTAATTTTACCATTGAGGATATCCTTCACATATAACTATAAATCTTTGTCTTTTCCTCCTTCATATTTACTGAGACAGTTAATCTGACTAATGTACACATTGTTCAAAGTCGCCCTCTGTGCCACTTATGTAATTTTACGCAAAAATCTATTCAAACTGCATGTCTGAAAAGGCTCAGCTAAGACACACAATTGACACTGCAGTTAAAGAAATAAAGAGGAAGATATAGAGAAAGAGAAGAGTTCAAATATGCCTTATAAAATACTTTATGAAGCCTGTTCCTGACCTCCACAAATTAGTTCAGATATGTTTCATTTTCTGACATCCCTTTGAAACGTAAAGCCTGGAGAATGGGGACAATAAATGCTGCTGCACCAGCATGTCTAGCTTTGGGACTGGAAACAGTGTGACACTGCAGCTGAACAAGCTGTCTGCCTCCAATCCGACCAATGCTTCCGTCAGAACTTTGTCCATCAGGACAGAAAGACTGAAAGAATTGAGCAATGAGACAGAAAAAGTGTTTTAACCTTTACAGACCCAGCAAGTTTTGACACAGACTCTCAACTTCTAATAAATCCACAATTATAATAACTAACTTTAGGAACATAAAACAAACTTAACGGATCATTAGTTTGTCAAACACTCTGTAAGTTTTATATATTTTCTCCACTGATCACCTGTAGGGTGTTTAAAAATCTTGGATGTATCGAAATATTAAAAGCTTGTATATAATATAGTTTTGTTTTTGTCTGAAACTTTCATCTGTGATGACTTAAGTTACACAGACATGCAGAAAAAAGTGTCCTGCATTTTCTGTGCTGATTCAGGTCTGACCTGAAGAAGTTATAATCTTACTGCAGTGTCCACAATACAGCACCAGCAGGTGCTTCTTACTTCAGATGTTCATTGCTTGGCCTGCAGGTGCAATGTATTATGATGCTCAAAAAAAGAGAGACAATTTGATTGGCTACATTGTGCCAACTCAATTCTGATTGGCTGGAAGTGGACAGCATAATGTGTGAGGGACATGTCCAGGCATGTTTAGTAGCAACGTTTCTTTCTCCTCCTTTCTTACTCAGTTCCTTCTCACATTCATTCACAGATCGCAACTTTGACAGAACGTCAGCGCGTAGTCGCTCTTTTCGCCGCCTGAATCGAGCCTTCAGTGTCCTGAGGAGGACCAAGAGTGGGACAGCAGTGGCCAATGAGACCACAGAGGAGCGAGACAACCTCAGAAATGCCAACATACCACCGGAGGGTGAGTGTGTGTCTTGCAAGTATTGTATTTGGGCATTTTTCAGCTGGTCAAGTTGGAATCCAGATGGTTAACCAGCTAAACACCAACTTGGCTTGGCAAGAAGACCAGCTAGACCAGAAGATTACCAACGGGGTAAGCAGCTAGACAAAATTAAACCAGTTAAGAACAACAAACCAAATTGTTTTTTAGATGCACTGTGTTATAAAATTAGCATGTTTATAGCAAGCATGTTTATAAATATGAAAAGAATTGCTAACTGTGTAGTGTAACTGTGCTGTTATGAAGCATTATTGCATAGCACCTCATAAAACATGAACTTTCCCATTAATATCATTCAATAGCATGCTAAACCAATATCAATGGATAGTAAAAGGAGAAAGGGAGTGTCAGAAGGTGACAGTCTGGTTTGGGTCCGCTCAGCCCCGCAGTAGCATATGGTCCTTTAATAATGCAGATGGAGCCTAAGGGAAACATGTCAGAGAGAGACAGAAAGGAAATGAAGCAGTGTGTCGGGACAGAGGGACTGGACAGATGAACGCTGAGGGAGAGGGTTGCTTTCTGAATGAAAACAAAAGAGAAAAAAAAGTGCTTGGGAGATTGAAAATGAGTGAGGAAAATACTGATAAGCGTGTGTGTTCGTTATGTAACACCCTGGTTGCAGTAGTAATGAGCTTCACTTTCTCTCTCCCTGCAAGCAATCAGAGGCGACGAGAGGAAAATATTGACTTTGAAAGAGAGAAACTGCAGATTGTTGCGGAGAACAGGAGGATACAAGAGAGAGTGTGTGTAGTGGAGAAAGAATGGATAGATAAAGATAAGGAAAGACAAATCACAGAGATTGTTACCGAATCCAGCTGTAGTTTAGAGTCTGTTCAGGCACAGGTGAAGTACGAATATTTCACCCTGAAAACTATATACACTACTATTCAAAAGTTTTGGGTTGGTAAGATTATTTTGAAAAGAAGTCTTTTACGCTCACCAAAGCTGTATTTATTTGATCAAAAATCCAGTAATCCAGTCTTCAGTGTCACACGATCCTTCAGACTCATTTGATACTTAAGAAACATTTCTTATTATTATCAATGTTGCACTGCTTCATATTTTTGTGGTGATACATTTTTTATGGATTATTTAATGAATAGAAAGTTCAAAAGAATGACATTTATTTTAAATAGAAATATTTTGTAACATAAATGTCTTTACTGTCACTTTTAATCGATTTAATGCATTCTTGCTTATTTTTTTTATCAATTATTTTTTTTAAATCTTACTGACCCCAGATTTTTGACTTATATACATCAGAGTTAAACAAATTAGTGGATAAATTATTGAAATAAATGTTAACTCCATCACTGAATACACTGAATAGATTTTCGGGAAGGCTTGGCCCCCCTTGCTTCCTCTGATGGAGCACTGTAATGATTTTCTAAGGCTTGTTTGGCTCTGCTTTGATCTGGACAGATGCCCTTTTTGTGTAGCACAGAAAGTGATGATCATGTGAGAGTTCACGTGTAGGTTGGAGTAGAAAAAGGAAATTATGTGCTGTACAAAAAAATTGATGCAGAATCCAAAATTTGGTGCTTTATTGGAAGGTGTAGAATATTTACAGTGAAGGACAAAACAAATATAAATGAAAACTGTACAAAAAGGAAATGAAATGGCAGCAATGTGCTAATTTGGCTAAACCAACTGGCCCAACTTTGCAACTCTACTCTGACTTAACTTCTCTGAGTCCACAAACAGAACTGAGTAAATTCAGGTAGCAAGCCAATTTATAGGCTGAAGCCCCTCCTACAGGACAAACCAACATAATTGGAATAAACGGAAAAGTATGCAACAATCAAATTCAATATAAACACAAAACACAACAAGATTTAAACTTCCCAAATAATATAAGAAACATTAACAGAAGAGAGATTTATTAAGAAATTATAAGAGAAAAACAGCTGTTCCTAAATTCCCCCCTCTGACATCCCACCAAAATGGTAGCTCCCAAAGGAAGTTACAGCAACTTTAAAAACCAGTTTGAACTAGATTATTGGTTTGGTTGTACAGAGTGAGAACCGAGAAGTTTAACTGCATTCAGATTTGTGAAAATAAAAAGTAATTGTCACATGAATTGTTGTGTGCTGGTATTTTGTTCTTGTAAAAAAAATAGTTACATACTTAATGAAACAAACTATAAAGATTTGAAAATTACAACAAAACACAGAAGTAACAAACGTTGGACTAACAATCTCCATAACACCTGTCTGTTGGGTCCACAGATGTTAAGTTTGCTGGCAATGAACAGTACAAGTGATATAGCCAGTGTTCGAACTATACCGTGGACTTTGGGGGAGCCCACTTGTTTTTTTTTTTTTTTATAACGGGGGGGCGGGGGCTTGCCCATGCCTTAAAGGAGGGCTCACAATGACTTACAAAGACACATAACAGCTACAAGTGTATGCACTACTTGCTTTATGCAAGCATCGTAGTTCGCACCCTGGTTATAGGTGTATATTTGTTAGACCACCTTTATCTAGAAAACAGGTTAGCCTGTGACAGACGCTCTCTTTTTCTCTCTCTCAGTATTTGCATTACCTCAGCTGCATCATCTAATCCCTGATGGTGAAGTCACCAGTATAAAGATCACAAGGGCAGATCCTTGTGAACCACTGGCTATTAGCATTGTTGGGGGCAATGAGACGCCTTTGGTTCGCATCCTCATTCAGGACATCTACAGAGAGGGCGTCATCGCTCGGGATGGAAGACTGCTACCTGGAGATATGATCCTCAAGGTGTGTATGTGCGCTAGATCTGATGTTACATCATAGTACAGTAGGAGTGATTCATTCTGGTTTTGATAGCACATGTTGTCATGGGGTTCACCATCTGTTGTTCAGAGGGGAAGTGTGTGAGGATTCTGCATGTAGCCAGACAGAATCAGATTTATTTATTTATTTATTTTAATGGAAATCTGTGGAATGGACTTCTTTTTCATTTTAAAATGACTATTTTAATGTTATAGCTACTAACCAATAAATGGCCAATATATTAATAGATTAATAATAAATTAACAATAAAACACTAAAACATGTACAGTATAAAAACTGATTTTTATTTTCAGATTTGCTAAAGACTTCGTTTAACTGTGTTGTTAATTTTTTTTATAGATTAACTTTGACTGGAAGACAATGGTAAAACCAATCCAAATGTAAAAATAAAGGAAATGAGCATTAGCACTTAAATAGCCAATGTAAATTGGGGAAGGAAAAAAAAAAGCAGATCAACCGAAATGGTACACTGTGCATCCCTAAAAATGAGAAAGCTGAGAGTACTAATTAATCAAATATTTAAATAGACACGCATTTGCAGCACATCTGTCTTTTTCCAAATCACAGAATTGTAGAAAGACAGAAAGTATGTATTGTTATCTGAGCCATAACCTAATGATTCATGCATCCGGCTTGGAACATTTTCGAATCACTTTCATCTTCCCTCACTGCTATAATTTCTTGTCCTCTCTCTACTTATATTTACATTTATGCTTTTTGCAGACACTTTCATCCAAAACAACTTGATGTCCATTTATACCAAGGACAACATTTAAAATCATTCTACATTTAAATGAATAGCAGAGTTCACACCACAACTATAATGATAAAGGCACAGAGGAACTATATCGTTGGAATCACTTTTAGAATGATTTTTTCCCAACTGGTAAACAATAAAAACACTGACAGCCAATCAGAATCAATTCTACTTTAAAAAGCTCAAGCATTTAAAGTGGCAGACTACAGTTCCCTCCGAATTGAACCCATGACACTGGCATTTCTAGAATCATCCTCTACTGTGTGAGCTTTAAAAACGCAATACAAAAATATTGCAAACATAAAAATATTTATCTTGATTTTGCTCTCTAATCTCATGCTGTCCTCCCTTCAGGTGAATGGTATAGACATCAGTAACGTGCCTCACTGTTACGCTGTGGCGGCTCTGAAGCAGCCCTGCACACTGCTGCGGTTGACCGTACTGCGAGAGCAGCGCCACCGTTACCGCTCCCATCATCACTCTCCCACCGAGGCCTTCCCCACCATCCGGGACGACAGCCTGCATGTGGTCCTCGTTAAGAGGGCTCCAGATGAACAGCTGGGAATCAAGCTGGTGCGTAGGCCTGACGAGCATGGCGTTTTTATCTTCCACCTGCTGGAGGGAGGGCTGGCCGCCCGTGACGGGAGGCTGACAGTAGACGACCGTGTTCTGGCCATCAATGGCCACGACCTGAGATATGGCGCTCCCGAGCATGCTGCGCTGCTTATTCAGGTGAGCAGCATTGTGGGAGGTCAAAAGTAACGTGATGAGTATTAAGGCTTGTGCATAACCAACAGACAAAACGGTGACAATGGCACAAATCAAAAGTGTAAATATGCATCAGAACTGTTCAAAACAAATGCAATTTAAAGTCAATCCCTGATAAAAGTGTCCATAAATGAAAATGAAATGCAGTCTGTTCATGCTAAAAAGCAAAATACAGCCCATCTGACAACATGGATTTTGTTTGCTTCGATGCAAAATGCATCCAACCGACAATAGCGACGTTCATGCAGTAAACCTTAAATTGCAATGAAATTGCATCACCAAAATGCAGTTAAAACCCCTTTAAATGGCCTTTAAAGAGATGTGCGATAGTGAGAGAATCAGTTTTGGTCTTTCTTCATCCTCTCAGATTCTAAGAGGCGCTTTATTCTTTAGTTACTTTTGTCTGTACAATTTCACCCAAAAAAATTTTCCACAACAGAAATAATGAAACCATTAATTTAATGGCTGTGTTCACTCACAGCATCAATATGAAGCTTTTCCGGCAATGCTACAAATTTTGCCAAACTGCCAAAGCTTATTTCAGGTTTTGTTCACACATGATCTCTACATTAAATGTTTCTAAATTTATAGAAAGCCTGTTCAAAAACAAAACAAAACAGACAACCAACAATTAAAAAAACAAAACAAAACCCTTATGTGACAAAAAGCAACAGCCAAGAAATCTATTTTTGATGCAATGCTTCAGGGGTTGACATTTATAAAGCCTAAAATTATTTGAAGTCATGCTAAAAAATGTAAACACTTTTATTGCTAAGCCTTTTCAGCATTTCAAAGAACGAATGTTTACAAAGCCTTCTAATCCTAACCTGTGGCATCTAATTCAGTGAATCATTCATTAAGTGGTAATGATTAGACTTTAACCCAGGATTAGACTTAGTCCTGAGTCCCAAAAAACAACTATTATGGTTCCAAATAAAATTTGGTGTGTTCCTTGAGCAGTATTGCAAAAGATGTAGAGCTTAGATAAGGTTTGTGGCAGTTTATTTGATTGTGGTTTCATCTCGGTGGTGAGAGGTGTGTCATAACAATATGAGAGTAAGAGTAAAGTGAGCGTGTGATTTCGATATGAATTTCAGTGTGGTGGGTCTTTCCGAATGTTGTTATTCGGCTTGCTGCTTCCTGTCTGGTTCAGATTGGTCTCGAAGGAGACAAGATGGCCGCTTACAGCAGGAGTTTCTGACATAGATTTACTGCTGGCAGGAAACTGATTAAATTAGCCCAATTAGGGTGATAACAAGCTAAGCCCACTCATTTAAGAGGCAGCGACAGAGCACTGAACTCCCAAGAACTCCATGGGCTCTCAATGCGAGTGTGTGCGCTTGAGAGCAACAAAAGCTACAGGGATGTCAAAAGAAAGGGTTAATGAACAAAACAGCGATGCTCTCAGATGGAATGACAGAATGGGTGAAAAATAAATCAGAGAGGGAAAAACTAGAACCTGTGCCCTCCTTCAGCTCACACATACACAAAGACTGCAGAATGGATCCCAAATCTCCATATATATTAGTTTTTCTTTAATAAGTACACACTTCTGAGATATAATCACACATTCACACTGAGCTGAAGCTGTAGGGCATTGGCTGTCATCACAACATCTGGTAATTGTGCTTGCTAGACGTCCAGAGATTAATGAGACATTACACACACACTCTCTAGGGTATGAACAAACAATTTAAAATTTTAAATTCAGTTTTTGAACTGTTCGCTCCTCAGGGAAGTTGTTGGCCTCTGTTTGCTCTCCTGCGGAGTTCGAAAGGTTTTTGCCGTAGATGGCTAATGTTAGGCCAACTTTCAGCCACCCTAACGCAGGTGTCAAAGGCCCCATGAAATCAAAATTGGAGTGTGTTGGCTTTTAGCCCATTCCTACAATATAAAGATAGCTATATATTTTCATATAATAAGATACATTTATACAGTAAAACATAAAAATGTGTAAAATATTTTCAGGAAAATATTTTATATTTAATTATTTTTAAATTAATTTATAAATATAAAAATATATATTTTTTGTGCTCAATCATAGTAATTTTTAATGCAGAAACCTTAAAAGAAACATACAATTATGCCTGTGAATGGAATAATATAATCATGATTAATCTCATAATTTCTGAGCAGTTTCTTAGAAAGCAGAATTTCATTCCCATTCAGATTTAAGTATTAACTTATTCTTTTACTATTTATATAAATATTGATGACTCATCTTGCGCTATACAGATTTTTGTCCAATCAAATGCTCTCTACAATAAAATATCCCCGTCAAGCTAGTTATCTTGACACTTCTAGTTAGCATACGTTTTCATCATCATTCATAAAACCTCATGCATTAAACTCTCTTAAGGCCTGTTCACACCAAGAACAATAACTATAAAGATTACTTTAACAATAACTATATTAATGTCCACACCAATGGATGATACCGTTCTGTTTATTATAAGCATACACAACATGCTTATAATAAACTGCAACTTTAAATGCTTGAGCTCTTTACAGCAAGATGGATTATGATTGGCCGTCATTGTTTTTATCATTTATCAGCTGGAAATAAAGAAAGGTATCTGAAAGTGATTACAACAAAATCATTCTACTGTGTCATAATTATAATTGTGGTGTGGACATCCTTTTTCTCACAGAATTAGAACAATTATTAAAACTATATAGTTATGGTTATAGTTATTGTTATTGTCCTTGGTGTGAACGGGCCTTTAATCCCTAAAAATTACATAAAACAGTACACTAATGCTATCTGCTGTGCGTTCTGTAGGCGAGTGAGGACCGCGTCCACTTCATTGTGTCCCGCCAGACTCACATCCCTACTCCGGACATCCTACAGGAGGCGCCGTGGAACATGGAAGGACCACCGCCCTACTCGCCTGTGGATATTGAGCACTCTTTACTGGTGGGTTTCACGAGCATGAACCACACACTCTTTATTTCCCATCCCTCTGCACCGCTTTACTAAACATTCTCTTATTGAGGAAAAAGATCTGAAAGCCTATTACTTCTACATCAAAGAATCAAACAATCAGCCAGCTCACACACGCGCGCGCACACACGCACACACACACACACACACACACACTCCTTTGAGACAGCCGTCTCCAAACCTATTAACAGAAGAAAACCCAGCAGGAGGAAACACAGCCATGGCAGGCTGGATTTCAGTGCTTCTTCTAAATGGGATTTTCTGCTGCTCAATATCTGCACTGACAACTTCCCTTGTTCTAATAAGTGTCAAATTCATTGTTAGTTATTACTCTCTCCCCCTTGCAGAAAAAAAACTTCTCAGACCAGCTTGTGAGGGTTTGCTGGTTTAAGTGTCAATGACAAATAAAGGTGCAGTCACAATTACAGTTGTTCTGTGAATTTTCATAGATCAAATCCAGTCATTTCAATAGGATTCCTATTTGCAGTCTTTTTAAAGTTTAAACTTTAACTATTTTATTTTATAAAGACTTATTGACCTTGACACACAGTAATGAGGATCTGCAGGGGTCCGCTCTATGTTGTAATTTCCTGTTGTTTTTCAAATGGCCCAAAACCCCTATAAAACCAGTCCGGAACAAACCAAACCCTAACATTATATCTCTTCCACTCTCTCTTTCTTTCAATCACTTTTTGTCCTTTCAGTAACTCTTGTTAATTCTCTTTTACACACTTGGAGAGGTGGAAACATTCTGGCAGCATATAGTCAGAAGCTTTTCACTCCTCTGAATTAGACACGGCCTAAGACAGACACACACACACACACACACACAGTCTCTCCAGCGATAAGCCCAACACACTAACTCCAGATCTGATTTTCTGTAGCCGAAGTTTCAGACTAAATATAAACAGCCCTTTTATTGAACTTTAATAACGCTTTTTATTAAGTTAGAACTTAGCGACTGTGTTTGTTGTTCTTGGAGAGAATCCAAGGCAAAATCTGGCCACGGTCAGCAATAACACCGCGTCCTGCAAGCTCAACATTTATTACAAACACACAAGCACACACACAATTTGGGCAGTCATGTGTTCAGAAAGTGTGAATCCAGATCATAGATTAAGAAATGTCATAAACCGAATAATTTGCACGGAAACTTTCTCATCCTTCTCATTTCCTGTCCCTCCATTTTAGGATTCATGCCAAAAGCCTGCATGTTACGAGAAGACGGTGACTCTGCTGAAAGAGCCGCATGATTCTCTCGGCATGACAGTTGCGGGTGGGATGAGCAGCAGGGGATGGGATCTGCCCGTCTACGTCACCAACGTCGACCACAATGGGGTGGTGGGACAAGAAGGCTCGATCCGCAAAGGTACAGCCTCACAACGTGTGTTTAACCTATTCAGACACATATGACAAAGCTGCGCGGGCACGCCTGTTTCCAAGGTGCCCCTCTGATCTTTCCTCCTTTTGAATGCACGTACACACACAAACAAAGACACACCTGCTACTGCATATGTATGACCGTCATCAGCTCGGCAAATATATGCATATAACACTAGAAATTAACACACTCCCACTCGTACACCTGCCATACTGCTAAATCTGTCTCTGTCATACACATTAAGTTTCATGGTCACACTAAGCCATGTTGCAATTCTGGTCTTTCCGTCCCCAAATTTAAGACCTCTTGAAATCATAATTAAAACTTTCTTGTACCATTTAAGACTTTTTAAGGACCTGCAGAAACCCTGTATTAAATGTATAAAACAATCTGCAATTAAAAATGACCCAATTTACATTCAAATCACATTGTGCAGGATTCTTGTTTGCACATTATTTTATGTGCAAACAAGGAAAAATACATTTAAATACATTTAAATCATATCTTCTCATCAAAGAATTGTCTCCTATCAACACAACTCTGCCATGCAACAACAGATCTGTTACGGTCCTATGATCCCCACACTAATGTGACTATCCCGTCTTCTAGGTGACATCCTTCTAATCGTGAATGGGGTTGACCTGACAGGTGTGACTCGGAGCGAGGCTGTGGCTAACCTGAAGAACACCTCGTCCCCAGTGGTCCTGCGGGTACTAGAAATGAGACCCCCAAATGAGAGCTCCCTGGACTGCATGCCCCCCCTGCATTCCCCCTGCGCTCTCTCGCCCTCTTCACCCGGAGACATCAAACTACCCCCGCCTAATGATGACCACTCCCCCCTCTGGGTGTCCTGGCTCCAGCTACCCAGGTACACTGAGCAGAAGTCACACAAAGAAAAATACTAATTAATTTGAATACATTTTATTTGAATTAAGTTTTTTACTGTATATATATATATATATATATATATATATATATATATATAGGATGTTTTCATGCAGTCTGAGAGAAGACATGTTGTGAATGTATCCCAAAATCTGAAAAAAGAAACAATGGTTTTGCCTGTAGTGTCTTGACTTAAATGCCTTGAAACTTTCAAACAAGTCTATGTCAAGCCAACATTTTTAAGGTTTATCTTTTCTAATTTAAACATTTCCAGTTAGATGTCCATACTCTGAATTACAATCAATTTAAATTCTACTTCCTTACTGTGAATTTTTGCCACCTAAGTTCAAATTCAGAAACTAAATTGGAATTTCAAATATATTCCTAAATCAGATCAGAATGCCACACAATCCAAGCACACATACACATTTTTCCAAAACCAGTACAAGACTAGCTTAGAAGACAAGGAAACATTGCATAATATTGTGACGTGTGAATGGGACTAAACTACAGCCCTGTAAATGACTAGACACTGTTTTTACGGTTGTTTTTAGAGCATTTCCATAAAGCTCTTCAAATTAAGAGGTGAACTCCAGTCTTGCCATTGTGATCTTGTTAAAACTGTTTACTGACAAAACAACCTATGTCTTTTTTAACAAGCAGGCACATGCCTACGGGGGTGAAAATCCTCTAAAGCAGAACATGTGGTATGCTCCAAATGAATTTCAGCGTGGGAAAGTCCAAATCCCTCTCAGCAGGGGTGCACCAAAGTCTACCACTAAATTAGGTGTGTATATAGTAAAATTAGAAGCATTACAGTGAAAGTGCTTGAGATGTTCTCTTTGATGCACGGTTTTAGTTCACTAGAATCGTTTTCAGTCGAAAGTAAAGATGCATTCGAGGCTGGTGTAAAGACACTGTTTATTTGTCGACACTTTGAAGCCATAAAACAGGTTGTTACCAAGATATATGGCAGCTTTTTCTTTGAATATTTATTAGCAACTGAAAAAAGCACAAATGTCAGGACATGTCAAAACTTCTCCAGGGCCCAAAACACCCTCAGACCCCAGAGGGTTAACCTATTCAGACACATATGACAAAGCTGCGCGGGCACGCCTGTTTCCAAGGTGCCCCTCTGATCGTTCCTCCTTTTGAATGCACGTACACACACAAACAAAGACACACCTGCTACTGCATATGTATGACCGTCATCAGCTCGGCAAATATATGCATATAACACTAGAAATTAACACACTCCCACTCGTACACCTGCCATACTGCTAAATCTGTCTCTGTCATACACATTCACAATTATCAGCTTCAAACTGAGCGTATGGAAGTTTTTCAGGTTTATTTCTGTCATATGTGACATGTACAGTATGTAGGCATGTGAAATTGTGATCATGCACAGGCTGGTGTATGGAGGCATTGGTTTAAAGTATCTATCAAATGCAGACACACACATGCAAGATCAAAGCTTTGAGTCTTTATATGCTGTACAAAGGTGTGGTAAGCTCAGTGTTTGAACTGAGCCAGAACCTTCAGGAGGGTCTGATATTTGGAAGAAAGTAGGTTTTAGAAAGTGCATCCTGTAAAGTGGGTTAGCTGGTAACAAACTACAACTAGTTACTCTTTCCATTTTGTGCACAACTATGCATTTCATGCTTTACCAGGTATTATGTATTTTATTATCTAGCGTTTTAACTACTGACATTGGGTTTTAATTTATTACAAATAAACGGAATGTATTTTATTAAAAATAATCTTATATATATACTAAAGTTTGGGGTCAGTAAGATTTTTTTAAATATGTTTTTAAAATCTGCATTTACCCAGGCTGCATTTATTTGATCAAAAACACAGTAAAAACATTAATATTGTGAAATAGCATTACATTATATTTAAAATAGCTTTTCCATTTTAACATATTTTAAAATACAATTCATTCCTGTGATGGCAACTTTCAGCAGTCAATACTCCAGTCTCTTCAGTGTCACGTGATCCTTCAGAAATCATTCTCATTATGCTGATTTGATACTCGAGAGACATTTCTCATTATTATCAATGTTGAAAACTGTTGTTCTGCTTATTTTTTGTGGAAACAGTGATACGTATTCTTTAATGAATGGAAAGTTTAAAAGAATATCATTTATTTGAAAATATTTTGCAACATTATAAATGTCTTTACTGTCACTTCTGATCAATTTAAGGCATCCCTTGCTGAAGAAAAGTATTAATAAAAAAATATATATATTATGACTGACTGAATTAATTAATAAATAAATAGCTTACACTATACACAAAGCAGCGCACAACTGACTTAGAAACATGCAGCGCTCATATTTAATCAATGAAATGAGAGCCTTTTTAAGTTTCATGGTCACACTAAGCCATGTTGCAATTCTGGTCTTTCCGTCCCCAAATTTAAGACCTCTTGAAATCATAATTAAAACTTTCTTGTACCATTTAAGACTTTTTAAGGACCTGCAGAAACCCTGTATTAAATGTATAAAACAATCTGCAATTAAAAATGACCCAATTTACATTCAAATCACATTGTGCAGGATTCTTGTTTGCACATTATTTTATGTGCAAACAAGGAAAAATACATTTAAATCATATCTTCTCATCAAAGAATTGTCTCCTATCAACACAACTCTGCCATGCAACAACAGATCTGTTACGGTCCTATGATCCCCACACTAATGTGACTATCCCGTCTTCTAGGTGACATCCTTCTAATTGTGAATGGGGTTGACCTGACAGGTGTGACTCGGAGCGAGGCTGTGGCTAACCTGAAGAACACCTCGTCCCCAGTGGTCCTGCGGGTACTAGAAATGAGACCCCCAAATGAGAGCTCCCTGGACTGCATGCCCCCCCTGCATTCCCCCTGCGCTCTCTCGCCCTCTTCACCCGGAGACATCAAACTACCCCCGCCTAATGATGACCACTCCCCCCTCTGGGTGTCCTGGCTCCAGCTACCCAGGTACACTGAGCAGAAGTCACACAAAGAAAAATACTAATTAATTTGAATACATTTTATTTGAATTAAGTTTTTTACTGTATATATATATATATATGTGTGTGTGTGTGTGTGTGTGTGTATAAATGTACCGCTGTTTTCTTCCCTTCTCACACCAAATTTGTGGGAATTTGCTGATGGAGTGGGAAAGTTCTTAACTGCCCAAATTATTTCATATGCAGAAAGTTGTGTGTAGGGGAGATAACTGTAGCATTTTTGCAGAGACTGTAAATCTTTAAACACAAATCGGTTCTTTCAGTGTTGCTCGCCATTTGAAGCTCACTTATTTCCCCAAGATATCTAAAAGCTCCTTCTGAATCTTTTATTTACTGTGAATTTCTCTCTTCACTCCAGCTCCTGAAATGCACCCCTATATTACTCCCTTAAATGGATAGTTGAACCAGAAATGATAATTCTGTAAAATCAGGCTAAATTAGTTAACATTAGCTACTGCATTAAGCATCAGGTAATAATACTGTAAACAACATTTTATTAATCTAGGTAAATGATACTTTACACAGCACTTTGGGTAATCTGGCTGCATCTCATTCTCCTTTCTTTTCTTCCATTGCTTTCTGTCTCAATCACATTGTTCTTGTTTTTCCATTTTTCTTTTAAAATAATAATAATTATTATATTTTATACAATCATACTTTATACAATATAATTTAAACAAAATGTATTTATATACTGTATATGGAATTTATTAAAATGTATTTATATTTACAGAAATTAACAATAATCAAAATACCCTTTTAATTATAAAAACAACAACAGCCCAGTTTAAAATGTATTTATACTGTATATCAGAAATTAACTATCACTGTCCCTTTTCTTTTTTATAATAATAATTTTAAAAAATATATTATTAGCTAACTAATGTATACAACTTCAAATGTATTAATACTGTATATGCAGAAATTAACATTAACCAAGATTATTAAATGATGTAAAAGTATTGTCCATACAGTAGTACCCAATGCTTTAGCTAAGGTTAACGAATTACACCTTAATGTAAAATGTTACCAGAAATTATATTAATATTTACCCTAATTTTGTTTCAACAGAATATGATAATAACAATTAGTCACTTTCAATCAGTTACCATTAAAAAAAAGATGCAATAAAAGTGCATCGTTTCATGTCTAGGTGAACTATCCCTTTAAGTGTCCTTGGTGAATAATTTGTTGATTTATCAATGTCTGCTAAATGACAATAAAATTAACCATGAATTTTCTGTCCATTCCAGGCATCTATACTGCTGTAAAGACATTGTCCTCCGCAGGAGCACGTCTGGCAGTCTGGGTTTCAGTATTGTGGGTGGACAAGAAGAACGCAACTGTAACCAGTCCTTCTTCATCCGCTCTATCGTAGAGGGCACACCGGCCTACAACGACGGCAGGATACGGTACAGACTCTTAGATATGTATATGTCTACTATTGTCGGAAACCATGCTTTTTGTAGAACAACTATAAATAAACTGCCTAGCACAGTTTATTCAATACAACTTGTTTTTTTTTTGCATTTTGTATTATCAAAACAATTATAAATCAATGATAAAATAAATTTATAAATTAAAAATAGTATCCTTTGTTGACCACCTTTACCTTTTTTAAATCATATTTTCAAGAAATTAAATGTTAAATTGCTAAACCGGTAACATAAATAGGCTTATCAAGTGTTTGGCATACTATTAATCAAAATCTATTCACAGTTGGTCACTCAGGCTGTGACTGGTGACAAGACTAATGATCTTTCACTAAAGACCTCCTACTGGTCAACAAACGGGCTCACCAGCTGGCCAGGGAGTTATTCTGTGGCCTCTGACTGGTTCTCCTGGTCCACATTGCACTCCTCGCTGGGCTCAAGGCTTCCTCGGTTGTGTTTAGAGCGTTTGTGCCTGTGTCTCCTGTGGCTATCTGCGTCATCACTATCATGACGCCTCCTACTGCTCCCACTAATGAGAGTGACAGAGAGAAGAATGTCACATGATCTATATATATTATGGTTATATAAGATGCTTTGCCCCCAATGAATATCACCTTTGTAGGCCCTTTTGTGTGCTTGTGTGTGTGTTATTCTGCATGATGTGACTGATGTGAAGCTCTAATGGCATGTTTTGTATGTGGACATATTGTACTTGCATTTGTTGTAGTGTTTTGTGTGTAAATTTGCACAAAATGATATTGGGTATTATATGTGAGAATTTTCCCCCCTAATTAAGGGACAATATTTATTCATTAATATTAAATTAATTTGCCGGGCATTTTTACAGTACCTCTCAGGAGTAAAAAATAAAATAAAATAAAATAAATCGATTCATTTTCACACAGCTTGTTTTATGTATAATATATAGAGTATAACATAATAAATTATAATAAAAAATAAAAAATATGTATGGATGTTATATTATATAATCAAAATCAACATTAAATTCAGAAACAGTTCTAAATAATGTTCAAGATGTCAGTATACAGAAATTATCTGTTGGAATAAATTTTGAATATTTTCCAATTCCTGTATGAGATTTTACGACTTTCTACTGTCTACCGTCACAGTAAATTTGGTCACACTTTATTTTAAGGTCCAGTTATCACTATTATCTAACAATTAACTATGACTTTTGCCTAAATAAACTCCTATTTACTGCTTACTAATAGTTAGTAAGGTAGTTGATAAGGTTAGGTATCGGGTAGGATTAAGGATGTAGACTATGGTCATGCAGAATATGTGCTTTATAAGTACTAATAAACAGCTAATATGCATGCTAATAGCAACTAGTTAATAGTGAGAATTGGTCCCTATACTAAAGTGTTACTGTAAGTTTAAATCAACTACTGAAAAGCACTATTAGCTACACATTCAGCAATATTTGACTCTGAAACAGTGAATACAGATGATAGCTACAGGTCACTATAGTGTCAGTAAAGGAATGAAAGGGATAGTTCACCCAAAAATCTAAATTCTGTCATTAATTACTCACCCTCATGTCGTTCCAAACCTGTAAGACGTTCGTTCATCTTCGGAACACAAATTAAGATATTTTTGATGAAATCCGAGAGCTTTCTGACCCTACATAGAGAGCAATGAAACTGAAACGTTCACAGGCCCAGCAACATAATAAGGGCATCGTTAAAATAGTCCAAATGACATCAGTCCTTACTATGTTGCAGGGCCTTGAACGTGGTGGTTCCCTTGCCTTCTGTCTATGCAGAGCCAGAAAGCTCTCGGATTTAATCAAAAATATCTTAATTTGTGCTCCGAATGAACAAACGTCTTACAGGTTTGGAAGGACATAACGGTGAGTAATTAATGACAGAATTTAATTTTTTTGGGTGAACTACCCCTTTAAACCCATAACTAGATAGGATTAGAATAGAATATTATGAAATAGACATCAAATGTTAGATAACAGATAAAAAAAATAGAATTACTTTTTCTGCCCAACATTTAGGGCATTTTAGTCACCTTTGGTATTTTTCTTTTAATGTCCAGCACCCTGGTGAATTTCTGACCCGGTGCGTTACCTGCGTGAGGATCTGTGTTGTTCATTCCTGTCTCTGTGTCTTCTTTCTCGATGTCTGTCTCTCACTCCTTCTTTTCCCAAGCTTTCTTGGTACCTCTCGCTTCCGTGATGACGGTGATCCCTGTGTCGAGACACGCGCTCCTCCTCACTGCACACACATGTACGAACACACTCATTAGTATTGAGGGAAAATAGTGCATCAGCCTGTTATAAAACAGAGCAAGATGACTCGGTTAGCTAGGCAGGGCAGCATCCTAACGGTCAAGGAACCTCACAAGCGATCGTTTGGAATGCTCAAACTTTGTACGCCACACAAGTAACACTCCATGGCAAACTGGCAATTGTTTTCAACAGAGTTTGACTTTAGCATGTTGCTAAGCTAATGGCAGTTTCTAAATCATTACGATTGTACACTGACTTCTAATAAGATGAATGGCTTCTGTTAGTTTCCCACACTCCAGATGGGACAAACTAACAACAAAGTTGTGAAACTGTAAGACTAAAGGTTTGTTCACACCTAAAAAGGAAACAATAACTATATTAGCCTGCCACATTAAGTGCTCAAACATCGAGTGGATTCTAATTGGCTGTCAATGTTTTTATCGTTTATCACCTAAAAATATTCTGAAAGTGATTTCAATGCTATTGTTCCTCTGTGTTGTTATCGTTATAACTGTTGTGTGGACTTTTTTTTTTTTTTTACAACGATCAATAAAGTTATCATGATAGTTATCATCTTTGGCATGAACAGGCTTTAAAGCTAGTGGAAACTTCTTCATTTTTGCTCCAATATTATCTAAACACTTACTCAATAAATGCTAAAATGTTACACTTGTCAGGTATCATTTTATCATTAAGAACTTCATATTCCAATCTAAGTAAGATGTAAGAATGAAAGTAGTTACAGTGGCTCAACCTGCAGCTGTTATGATGTACAGTATTCTAATGAATGGCTCTGAGTACACATTTACCACATTCTCACTGTTTCTCTGTGCACATTCACACAGAAAAAGAGAGAGACAAACTCAATCACTTGATCACTCCGTCTGTAATTAGCAGTCAGTTGAAACCTCCGGCCCGCAGGTGCTGTGCTATAGATTAGTCTTGGAAACACTAATTAGATCATAGGGGACAAAGGACTTTGTGGTGGCAGTGGTCAGTGTGGGGCACTTGTGCAGTGTGCGCGATCGCTTCGCACAGCCTAATGTTTTTTGTTTCACACAAAGGCACCATTCATCCAAAAATGAACATTCTGCTGCTATAAACCTTTCAGGTGAACTATCACTTTAAAGGCACAATATGTAAGATTTTTTTTATTAAAAGATCCAAAAACCACTAGAACAGTTTTATATATTTTGCTGACTTGTGTACTTACATTATCCCAAATGTTTCGAAGAATGTTTAAATCCAGAGAAATAAGCTATTTTAACTAGTGACACAGAGCGTGTCTATAGTGTCATTGTACCTGGCAATGATGTCACACACTCTCGATTTCCGGTTTTGTTTTGTAGAAAACATGGAAACACCAAAGACGCTTTAATATGCTATGCATTTTATTAGACAGGTGATGACCGCACAGAGTAGCATTATAAAAGAACGTTCAAATGTATCTAGTATCATAAAACAGCGCTGCTTACTTCCACTGCTTTCCGGAAGGAGCGGAAACGGTCGACTGTGGCATAATAAAAGCTGCTCTCGTTTTGCTTCGACGGCTTTCCGTCTCACTCTGCTTCATACTACGACGTTAATAAGTCTTTAATACATTAGCTCATCCATGAACATGATTTATGCCCGAGTCCCATCGGATTGCTTCGGCTGTGGGGATGAAGACGACAACTCCCATGATTCCACACTCAGTCATCTAACTACGCCTTTGTTTCTTTGATTGTTTTGAATACGTGCCCTCTAGCGGCAAAAAAAACTATAGGTAACACTTTCTATGAAGCCCGTATTTATAATACATTATAAGGGTATTCATAAGGCATTATAATGAATGCATAATGAATTATAAAAAACCTTATTATATGTTGTATCATCTCATGAATATTCATAAGAACAGTTTTAATACATTGCAATATTTACTTATTTGTGGTTATAGCTTTTAAGAGTATGATGATTTATAACACAATGAACACGTTGCATCCACTTTTACAATGGATTATATTTCTCATAGTTATAATGTATTATACGTCTCATATATTGCCATTTTTCTTATGCTACTTTACTTAAAGCGGTCAAAGACCACTTATAAGTAGCAATAATAATAATAATAATCATAATAATATTTTTTTCTCTCAAACAGCCATAAGATCAGATATCAGATCAGATGAACGTGTAATATGACACATTTGCTTTGAACTATTTTTATTGTAATATCAGTTAGATTATTTTGATGGTACCCTTTAAACAGCTGTTGATAAGTGACTCTGCAACTACATATCAACTAGCGGACATTAGAGTATTAGTATGTCTGCTACTGTAAATATTTGCTAACACTTTATTTTGATGGTCAACCAACAGATAAACTGACTGTGATCTGATCAAGCAGATCAGATTATCAGTCAATCAGGAAACGGCGCGTTTACACTTGGCAACATCAGCTGACTTCTCGATCTGGATAACTGATCTAATCTGTATTTCCCGCGCAATATTTAAATAAGTCAGCGGTGCAAAGTCGACCTGAAGCGGTGGGTTTTCTTTTGAAAACTATTTTCAGTCGCGGGACATTTTACAAATCAAAATAAATGTACGAGTCTCACTAGCGCTCTGTTCTTCTGACAGTTTGGGAGAGAGGGGGCGGCGTTTTACATGATGTCAACCTGCGAATGCAGACACGATGGCTGGATTGCATTTACATTACACTGAGATCCGATCACAATGTGTCCTCGACTACCTCTGGACCAGGACACGTTGATCGCATAACATTCCGATCAGAAGCGCGTTTACACTTGTCTTTTCGATGTGTATGTGGACAACATCCGGATACAAGTCGCATGTTAATGCCAAGTATAAACGCAGCCATAGATGGATGGGGAGTTAGTTCTGGATGCCTGTAAACAGGAGGCCGGAGGCACAAACATGGCCACCCTGTCTGTGTCTCTCTCGCTGCCTTATTTGGCATTTGACTGGGTGAGGGAAGGCTTTTTAACCGTATTTTAGTCCTTAGAAGATAAGTTAGAGTGTCAGACAGAGCTGAGAAGCAAATAAGTATGTTTACGAAGAGAAGAGAAGAGACACACACACACACACACACTTAACCACCTTAAACACACGTTTGACAGCTTCCAAGCACAGGGATAAGCTGAAAGAGCTGGATCAAACTGAATAAGTAATTCTGTGTGTATGGAAGAAAGACAGTCACAGTGGATTAACTGAAGCAGATGGGAGTAGTGCTTTTGTCTTGATTTCTCTTCTTCTAAGTCTGGGGTGAAACTTTGATGAGCTGCCCTACATACTGCAGGCAGGAACTGAGACAGAAGTAATGACTCTGATACAGCTTTTGTAGCTGCAGCCTAGTTTTACTGTCCCATAAACTCCACGAAGGCTGCCAATCACAGCTTTAAGAAGAGTCAGTTATCTCTGACATGAGGGACATTGAATGTGTGAGCCCCATAACTGTTAAACTTACATAACTTTTTACATATCTTTACATATCTTATTTTCCCAGATTTATGTGATATTTCCTTTTGGTAGTGACAATTTACCACATAACAGTCTGCTATAAGAAAATATTGTGCCCACTGGTAGTAGCATTTATTTGCACGTGCTGTTAGGGTTGTTTTAGCACACAATGGATGGGCACTCGAACATTGACTTCGTTTGAATATAAAATCTAGTGTAGCGTTAGTTCTGGAAGGTCACATTAGTCAAGCTCGCATCAGCTGACTCTCAGCTGATCCCCATCAACCTATGGGAATACGACACCTAAGTATTCATATATAAGGTCCCGCAGTAGTATCAGCAGTTTTCGCATTGCTCAATAGCTAATTACCCTCCTCCATCCCCAACTCCTCCTCTGTCAGTCAGGATTCAGCCTTCTGATTCTCCTTTGAATCAGACTAATTCTAAAATGTGTACATAACATTATTGAACTTTAACGATATTTGCAATACATTTATGTTGGTTCTGTTCTGTTTACCCTGGGGGGGTTATTGCTGCTCTCCCTGCTCTCATCCATGCTAGGCTGCATGAATGCGCAGGGAGTTCTTGCCCAGAACAGACCCATCCCGCCAATCAAAACTGTATGCTAATTGTCAATCATCTTTGACGATAGTGGTCCTGACTGAACTGATATTCAGGCATTCTGAGACTCAAGTGTTCTGCAAAGACGTAGCATTATTTAAGTCTCTTTCACAAGCTCTACCTCTTTCTCTCTCCCTTTCTTTCTCTGTATTTCTTTTTCTCCTTCTTTTGCCTGTGTAGTGACTTGCTATGTTCTTGATTTCTCTTTCTGCTACATCTCCTCTGTCTCTCTCTCCAGTTTCTATACGACACCAACCTGGACATATATACAGACATGATCCATATTTCATACACAAGCCCTGCTATAATGCATAACAATCAATCAGTAAGAAAAAAATCACTTGAACATGAACACTTACCTATCTAATGGTGGTATCATAGGTGGAGGGGCCCCGGGAGGTAATGGGAAACCTGAAACGGCAGGCATAAACAGATGTTATGTGAATAATGATATGGTGAAATTAAAATTATAAGCATGAAAAATTAGGAATATTAAAATCCTAAGTGTACATGCAGTACAAATTCTTTCAAATGTCTTCATATGATTTCATTTATTATAGAAAATGCATGTTTGTGTCTGTATGCGCATGTCCAGATGTCCTGACTTCAAATGACTCAACACTGTTTATGACACATCCAGACAGGATTCCACTAACACAGTGGCCTGCAACTTTTACTGCCCTGCTAACCGTGACACCCCCCTTAAACAAATGGGCCTTCGCAGCACCCCAAAAAACACATTCTCCCTCACATGGCTGAGACACGCTTATCTGCTTTGATCACACTTAGCCACAGACTCACAAACATTCATGCACATCTGGGCACCATCCCCCTTTTGTTTTTCCACAGACCCCTGATGGGAGCCAGCTCCAAAAGACAGTTTTCAACGACAACAAAAATGACTGAAAAAAGGCTAAAAGAAAAACAGTAATTTGAGGAACACAGAAATCACACAGATCTGGCTAACACAGAATGAGGCAGAAATGCAGCGTCCCCTCCAACGCATGCATCCACTCACACAGAGCTTCGCAAATCATCTGTGCTGTCCTTGAAACTTAAAAGTATGTATGAAAGTATGTACTTTGTGAACTATGCCCTAAACTACTCTTTTTTTTCAATCTGCCTGTGGATGTTATGCTAATTTATGTCAGAGATCTGTTGCAAGCTCTAGAATAGTTCAGTAAGATCACAGATCTGCTTGTAGTGCACATTAATAGATGCTCCAAACACTGTTTCTGTGTCATAAGAGTTTGGCAGTGTGTATTTTGATCAATGGGACAAAACAGGCTACAAAAAAATAAAATGTCAAATATATGGTACCATTTTACAAAAAGCTTCAATTTGTCAACATTAGATAATGCATAAAATATCAAGAACAATTCTTTACACCATTTGTTAATTAAGGTTAGTTTTATTTAATATATATATATATATAAGTCCACACACACATACACATTATTCAAATACGTTTCTATAGGATCATGTGACACTAAAGACTGGAGTAATGGCTGCTGAAAATTTAGTTTTGTCATCACAGGAATAAATTGCATTTAAAAATATATTATAACACGGAAAAATTACTTTAAATTGTAATAATATTTCTTAATATTACAGTTTTGGTCAAATAAATGCAGCCTTGGTGAGCGTATTAAACCTCTTTCAAAAACATTTAAAAATCTTAAAAATGTGTTAACTCATGTTTGTTCAAAATACAGAATATGTACAATCTGAAGTGTATACATTGACATTAAAAATTATTGTATTGAACTGTAGTGCATTCTTAGTTCATGTTATGCCAATGCATTACTAATAATGCTAAAGTATAGAACCTTACTCTTACCATATATATTTACTACAATGAAAAACTGAATGAATTAATGAACAAAATTTCTTTAAATATTTTTGTGTGACAGAGTTGACATACAGTATGCTTTTGTGTGTGTGTTTTTTTAAAGATATATTGTGTAAAGGGTGCTTAAAGGTATTTTATGAATGTTTACAACCATTAATGTCCTCTAAAAGAATCAAAGTGGATCCCTGGACTCTCTGTAAAAAAAAAAAGTAAAAAAAATAATATATATCTATATATATATATATATATATATATATATATATATATTTAGACTATCAGTACAAAAATGTAAAATACAAATCCTCTCCTAACAAATCTGTCATTAAAATTATGATTTGAATGAAAAAAACTCTCACTCCTCCACAACCTCATTTAATCAAAACATTCCTAACAACTGGCTCTCTCCATCTTTTTCCCCTCTCTCTTTCAGCACAGCTGGGTCATTCAGCACATTTTCAGTGCCACGATTCTGCTAGCATGGCACTTTTTCATTCTTCCCGCCCTGAGCTATTTTTAGTCACACACACAGCACATTAATGACACAAAAGGAACAGCGTGGCCGTAACGGGACAGCGATATCCGCAGGGGGAGTGAGTCAAAAATAGAGAGGCCTATAACTTAAAGATGGGGAGGTGGGCTTCTATGATAAAACGAAAAAGGCCTGTTCTGGATTATAGGCTGAACTTCAAAGGCTAGGCCTGTCCAGGAAGTTTGATATTTTGACTGTATTAAAAAGGATGAGTGGATCCTGAAAAACGGAATGATGGGTAAGTCTGTCAGTGAGAGGTCTGAGTGGAACAGAGGAGGGGTGGTAGGATTTGGCAGAAGGCGATTTTTTGATGAGGCTTTGAAGCAGAAGAGGAGTAGAGTTAAGAGAACTCAAATATAGACGTCCTGTTGAAAGTGTGGAGGTGCAGCATCTGAGCAGGAAGTTAGGCAAACTGACAGCCAGCAGGCCTGTGCTGCAGAGGAAAACCTGGTGAGAATTACACACACCTGGATACAGACACACCAGCTCAAGCGCATATGTTGTCAGACTCCTACAGAGACACATGCATGCTCAATATTTAGTCACTGTCAAATGAAAAACACAGCTGCTGCAGCTCATCTGGTTTAGCACCTGAACGCTAACCTTGAACCTTAAGCACACAGCATTTTGGGGCATCATGGGGCATTTCACTGCGTTCTGAATCACAGCCCTAGTGTGCAATATTTTAACAGCGAAAACACATTAACAAACTACTTCATGGGGCAATAGAAGTAGATTAATTTCTGTTTGCTATACCATACTTGGCAAAAATAACCTTTATGTTTTAAGTAGACCAATAATAAGACATGCGTTTAAGATATTTAGGATCTCTTCAGACCAGGAGAAGACAGCAGGTCGTTCAATATGGGTGTGAATCAATCGCACACTGGATAAATGTTGTCATGGCAACCACAAATTCCCTATGATTGGCTATATGTACAATGCAGTGTAATGAAAACATATCAACATGTCCTTTGACCTCCCTTGGACTGTTTGAAAGAGTGCTGGCCTTCAGTCAGGAAACGTCCAGCTTCATGGATCAAAAGAAGTATTTTATGCTCACCAAGGTTGCATTTATTTGATCCAAAATACAGTGAAAACAATAATATTGTGAAATATTATTACAATTTAAAATAACTGTTTTCTGTTTTTATATATTTTAAATAAAATGTATTCCTGTGATGACACTGCTGAATTTTCAGCAGCCATTACCCCATTCTTCAGTGTCACACAATCCTTTAGAAGATGCTGATTTGATGTGTAAAAAATATTTCTTAATGTTAAAAAACTGTTTTTTGACCGTTTTAAAGGGAAAGCATTTATTTTAAATATATTTTGTAAAATTATAAATGTTTGTACTGTCACTTTTGATCAATTTAATGCATCCTTACTGAATAAAAGTACACATATTTTTTTTTTTAACCAAACTTTTAAAAAGAAAATTATTATTAGAATATATTAAGCAAATATATTCTCAAACATAAGATTAAAATCTCTATGAGTACTATGAGGATTGACCCGCTGGTTATGAGAATAATCTGATTTACATTTAATAAGCTGGTTAATATGCTGCACTGTGTCACTGTCAGATGTGTTCTGCTTAATTTTGGAACTATTAAAAGTGAGAGTTTTGCTCAAGGACAAGCTGAGGAAAAACCTGCAATGCCGTAACATTCACATGCTACTACGTCACTACACAGCACAGGCCCGTCCCTTTTCTGCTGATACAGTGAGTGTGCATAAGTGTACAGCATGGAGCTCACTTACCAGGTGGTGGTATGAGGGGGAGTGTGGTGCTGATGGAGGGAGGAGGGAAAGGTGGAGGTGGGATATTGGGAGGAAAGAAGGGCAACAGCTTTGGGGAAGATAGCTCTGTGTCCGAGGATTGCTCTGAAACAACCTGAAATCACACAACTATATGAGATCAGTACTCTGCTATTTACAGCGATTCACTCTGTGTCCATCAAGCATGCAAAAACACACCTGGATGTTATTTTCATCAGCGCTGTGACGTCTTCTGCCTTCCACTCGACTGATGGTCCCTGCTTGTCCTCCGATAACATTGATCGCACCACTCGACTTCCTGCATTCACACCCACACGCATAAATCAAAGTCGGATCATTATGTTGAGTCCATATGTGTGAGTCAGGAGGATGAAATGTGTGCTGCACACTACAAACCATTTAATGAACACAAAATATCCTGGTTCCGTTTTTGCACTATAGGACACTTGGCACATACACAAACGCACACAATCTCAGTCAATGCTATTTTCCTGCTGATCTGGGAAATCTCCTCTGATGTGCTCGACAATATTTTTAGCTCATGTACACACAGCAGTCATACGCTTGCGCGAATGTGTGGTAGTCGTGACCATTCATAAATCTTCAAGTCCCCTGAAACAAGGCGACAAATACTCTCAGTAATGCACAAATGAACTAGGCAATAACCTATTTCAGTCACTAAAAATTAATCAGATAGAACAGAGCACATTAATGCTGCATTAAACATTATGCATGCTGCATGAAAGCAAGCATTCAAGAGTCTAAGTAACACGGACAGCTTGTCTGCAAAAGTCTTTCTTATTGTTCCTGTCTTTGCTGGAGAAGTTTGGGACAGAGTCAACTACAGGGGAAAAACACACACACACACAAATGTAAAAGCCTTAAATTGGCACACTTCTGGTGTTTCACCTACTTTCAGCAGACACGACAGTGGATTTAAGTGCTACCCTCTTATGATTTTATAAAGAAGGTACACATAAAAAATTCACACCCCAGCCCTGGCTCTGCAGTCTCTCATCTGTATTTTTAATCTCAGCAATGTACGTCATGCAGTAAACATTTTAGACAGATTTCTCCATTTACAAGGATAGTTCACCCCAAAATAAAAATTCTGTCATAATTTACCGTGCTGCACACTACAAACCATTTAATGAACACAAAATATCCTGGTTCCGTTTTTGCACTTGGCACATACACAAACGCACACAATCTCAGTCAATGCTATTTTCCTGCTGATCTGGGAAATCTCCTCTGATGTGCTCGACAATATTTTTAGCTCATGTACACACAGCAGTCATACGCTTGCGCGAATGTGTGGTAGTCGTGACCATTCATAAATCTTCAAGTCCCCTGAAACAAGGCTACAAATACTCTCAGTAATGCACAAATGAACTAGGCAATAACCTATTTCAGTCACTAAAAATTAATCAGATAGAACAGAGCACATTAATGCTGCATTAAACATTATGCATGCTGCATGAAAGCAAGCATTCAAGAGTCTAAGTAACACGGACAGCTTGTCTGCAAAAGTCTTTCTTATTGTTCCTGTCTTTGCTGGAGAAGTTTGGGACAGAGTCAACTACAGGGGAAAAACACACACACACACAAATGTAAAAGCCTTAAATTGGCACACTTCTGGTGTTTCACCTACTTTCAGCAGACACGACAGTGGATTTAAGTGCTACCCTCTTATGATTTTATAAAGAAGGTACACATAAAAAATTCACACCCCAGCCCTGGCTCTGCAGTCTCTCATCTGTATTTTTAATCTCAGCAATGTACGTCATGCAGTAAACATTTTAGACAGATTTCTCCATTTACAAGGATAGTTCACCCCAAAATAAAAATTCTGTCATAATTTACTCACACAAAATAAGATAGTTGGTAACTAAACAGTTTTGATGCAATTGCATGGATTAAAAAAAGCATTTAGCAAAATATCTTCTTTTATGTTCCACAGAAGAAAAAAGGAACAACATGAGGGTAAGTAAATTATGAATTTTTGGGTGAACTATCCCTTTAAAGGTGCATTCAGTAATTTTCCCTCATGAAAAATGTTTTACACTAAATAAAAAAATAAAAAATTTAATCTTGTTCACTAACCTAAGGCCCTGTACCAAATAGCACCCTAAACTCTTGCGGCCTTGTGGTGTGGCCTCGGCAGAAGTGTGCATCGAGGGTGCTTAGCGGCCACAAAGGAGGCGTTCACAAGCACTCTTCTGAAAGCTAACGTGACGAATGGGACACCCTATACAGAGACTATTGGCAGCCTGCATGTGGCAGCTATTGTAAGTCTGCAAAGCCACAAGTGCACATGAAGTGTGTCATTTTTTTGAGAATGTTGGTAACTAAACAGTTTTGATGCAATTGCATGGATTAAAAAAAGCATTTAGCAAAATATCTTCTTTTATGTTCCACAGAAGAAAAAAGGAACGACATGAGGGTAAGTAAATTATGAATTTTTGGGTGAACTATCCCTTTAAAGGTGCATTCAGTAATTTTCCCTCATGAAAAATGTTTTACACTAAATAAAAAAATAAAAAATTTAATCTTGTTCACTAACCTAAGGCCCTGTACCAAATAGCACCCTAAACTCTTGCGGCCTTGTGGTGTGGCCTCGGCAGAAGTGTGCATCGAGGGTGCTTAGCGGCCACAAAGGAGGCGTTCACAAGCACTCTTCTGAAAGCTAACGTGACGAATGGGACACCCTATACAGAGACTATTGGCAGCCTGCATGTGGCAGCTATTGTAAGTCTGCAAAGCCACAAGTGCACATGAAGTGTGTCATTTGGGACAGGGCCTAAAACTTCCATCATATCTGTAGCTTAACAAAAGTAGTTTTATTGTGTTTGAAGAGGGAAGACTTATGAAGGCGGCCATTATGAGATCACATGACCAGCTGAATATTACTCATTTTATCTTGCTAAACCCCTTGTGACGCTTTCACTTGTGGAATAAATTAATCATGGCTAACTGCAAATATAAGTTTGTAGCATTGGTACCAAAAACTTGGCAACTAGGTGTCAGTTTATGCTCAATACAACTCAATATCAATCAGTGCAACATGAACAAAAATTTTTGAGTGCAATTCTGTGAAAGACAAAATAAGAATTTTCTTAGAATGTCCAAAACACTATTGTAAACAACCACTGTATGAACAATAAAACACAGAGACATTTTTGAAATGTCTGCTTTTGTGTTTCACGATGAAACAGAATTAGTGACATATTTTCTTTTGTATTGTGATGCACAGCCGAGTGTAACAGATTACCTCAAATAATATAACATAGGGAAAGGACTTGGTTCTATGCATCAGTTGTTGATGTGATTTTTAGATGTGTGCGTTGCACTCAAATTGTGGCAGATGAACATATGCTTGCAGGGGTGTAGGACTAAATGATTGGAGAAGCCCAGCGTACATCATCAGAGAGAAGTCTGACGTTTACCAGAAGATTCAGACATGACATTTTGATTAAAAATTACATTTTCAAAACTGTTTTAAAAAATAAAACATAGATGAATCGTTCACAATAAGGTCAATAACATGCATTCAATCATGCTGACTTTAAGTAAGTCCCATTTATGAAGCATGCAGTCAAGCTGTACCTGAATATGCACATGAACTCATGTGAACTCTTTTTTTAGTGCAAAAACATTGCATTTTAATGGGGCGGAACAAGATCGAATGACAATCTCTGTTAAGACCCTTTTGATTCATGCTCGGTGTTTAAATGGGCGTACTGTGACTGACTCCTGCATCCTGTCTGTACGTGTATGTGTAATAATGAAAGCCGGACTGTTGCTTTACTCTTGAATGCTCCGGTTCATACACGTCCCCCTGAGCGACGCATAACCTTCAACTGATTGAGGAGAGGTTCAAGGAATGGCTGATTAAAAATCACCCCCGCTAACTCCTGCCCAGGACCAAAGAGAGTCTGGACCACCAGGACTGAACCGTGGTGTGTGTGTATTTGTGTTGTGTCTCATAGAAAAGTAATAGTGAAATATTATAGGTTTCAACAGTCAGGATGTTTTCTTCAGGGGAGAACAGAAAACAAGAGCTGATAGAAATCAAGTGGAAAAAAAAAAAATTTAACCCGTATACAGGGATCATAATATGAGTACAGAGCATTTGGGACAACAGCAGAAAGCCATTATCATGTAATGATGCTGTTACTGGGAACATGGCTAGCACGCATAGTAAATAAGCAGCCATTAAGAGTGCTACACTGCCCTTACGCCAAACAATTCAACTGCACGAGATGATTCAAGAACAAAAATAGAGAAAACAGCAACAGAAATGACATCAAGTATACTGCAGTTATTCTACTTCCTCTTCATTACAGATTCTTGATACAGTTTATTTAACTCAATGAACTTTGTATGTAAAGGCTGACTGGCCTTCTCTGATATCACATAAGTTGCTTCATTGGTACACCTTTTAAGATCAATTTAATAAATTTAAATGACTGCTTACAGATGGCTGATTATAGCCTATAATATGCATCAATACATGGACTGAGTTTGGAAGGAGATTGTTGCATTCACTATACTAGGAAAACACTTAAAAAGACTTTGAAATCACTTTTAAATGGTTTTAGGACTAAAACCAAATACCCTTTAAAAACTATAATGTTGGCCATTTTCAGTGTTTTAAAGGAGACATATTATGATGTCCCTTTTTACAATATGAAATATAAGTATCTGGTGTCCCCAGATGTGTCTGTGAAGTTTCAGCTCAAAATACTCCACAGATAATTTATTATATCATTTTGAAAATGCCTATTTTGAGTGGAAGCAGAAACACGCTGTTTTTCGGGCCTGTTTCTTTAAATGCAAATGAGCTGCTGCTCCCCGCCCCCTCTTCCAGAATAGAGCTGCGCCATTACAGCTCGGACCTGCTAAAAACATCTGTTTTGGTTCTGATTATCATGTTTATCGTGCTGAAATCATGCGTTTTAAACCATATGAGTGTAAACTTCTGATATACGGTTTTCTGAGAGCACACATCCGAAGCACACAAACAGAAAGCGGCTGTCACAGCATGTGAGTACTAAACTAAGTTCTCATTCACACACACGTTTACGTTAAAAACACACACGAGTTACAAAAACAGTCGGTTATGTTTGTGAAGGTAAACTGCTGGGAAATAAATTGCATGTTTATTTTAGATCTGTGTGGCAGCAGCAATATGCATTAAATAAATCAATAAATCCACTGCTCTCTTGTCTCCTCTGAGGCTGGGACTCTAAATAGTGTTCTGTGCTCGTCTGTGCAGCCAAAGACAAAACAGTTTGCATGTTTTGCTCAAACTTTCGCCATGGCATTAGAGCTGGTACACCGTTGTCACTTGCAAAATCGAAATGAGGTGCCGTGGGTGGAAACGTACAGATTAAGGGGCGGTAATATTATAATAAGATCCCTTTGCCACGTCACCAAGGGAGCGAAATCAGACGCGCTCATTTTCTCAGACGCTTGCAGAAAAAGGCTTACCTAAACAAAGTTACTGGGTTAATCTTTTTCATGTTTTCTTGGTTGGTAGATGCACGGGGACCTGATTATAGCACTTTAAACCTGGAAAAGTCAGATTTTCATGATACGTCACCTTTAAAGTGACAGTTTACCAAAAAATGAAAATTCTGTTACCATATACTCTCCCTTATGTTGTTCCAAGAAGTAAAATGTGTGCAATGTGTGTGTATGGGTTGGTTGGTTGGTTTATACTGATGTGTTTGATAAAGGGTTGATGTACCTGGTTGAGTGTTCTGAAAGATCACTACTAGAACTCTGATGAACCTGGGGAGAGACCGAGAGAGAGAGAGAGGGAGAGAGAGAGCACACATTTATATGTATACACACTCATTCTACATACACAAGTGTTCCAAAAACTCATGAGCCACCAACAGAAGCAGCATTTTAAGTCGCAGCAGGCACTTCCAAAGTAAAAGGTGTTCCAAAAGTTATGAATCCAGTTAGTTGCCTCCTCCTAAGATATCTTGTTTTAGCCAAATTCTAAGGCATTTTCGCATGTGGTGAATGCAGCCCCAGAATGATCTGCACTGAGCTCGGAGGAAAAAATAAAAAATCTGGCAGATGAGGCAAAAGAAAGGTTCACAAAACAAAATAACATTAAATTATGATAAATATATAATATAAAAAAATTACTTTTTGCCAAATATTTGTGTCTGCTATAATTATATTTTTTGCTTATCCTTGATAGCACACGTGCATCGAGACGTGTGTTTGCTCATCTGTAATACGTCTATAGAACGTTTCCTATCAGATGTCAAATAGACGTTTAGAAAATGTCTTTAAGATGTTTATGATTTAGTATGCATGTTAAACTGACATCTTAAAAACGTCTATCAGACGTTTATACACAGCAGATGCTTTCCAGATGAAGTGATCTTTAACAGACATCTTGCAGACGTGTGTGTGCTATCTAGGATAACAGATGATTATTGTGCCATTAGCTTAGCAACATGATAATGTCAAACTGTCGGAAACAATTGCAAATCGTTCATGATGCATTCAAGTCATGTCAAAAACATTATATTTATGAGTTGAGTGCACATGAACACCACTTCAAAGTTGCAATTATGAGTAGGAAACCCATATTATATTTTATATAATATATAAATAATATAAATATTTTATATAATATAGAAAATATTTTCTTTGAGTCCTAAGTTGCCGGGTTGAGGGCATCAGTGAGAAAACATGGCGGATGAAGACACTGGATGCAGCGTCTGTATTGATGATACATTTGTTGAAATTAATTACTTTTTTTTTTAAATACAATAAAACTAGCTAAGATCCATGATCACAGTACGATTGTATTGTACAATTACTATAGAATACATAATGAGTGCTCCAAATCAATCACTTCTGAGGTTTCACGAAAGTAAGGAAGCTCCCTTAGAAGCCAGCAGTCTATGTAGCCAGCTACTGTAGGCAGCTCACTGGACTTTGGAACAAAGCTATCAAGTCTGAAACAGCAGTAAATGCCCTGTCACAACTCATTATCAACATCTTAGTATGAACCATCATGATAGAAGTAAGGGCATATTTTATTTATGCTAAACGTACCATTATTTTGCTTAATGACCCCAGGCTCAGGATCTCTAGGCTCATGCGTAGTCGTCTCTGTTTGTCACAGTATGCCTTCCAGGTATCCTCATTAAAACCATAGTTAAAGTAGTCAGACAGATCTGCACCTGCGTTTATACACAACACACGCTGTTAGTTGTACTAGAGAAAAAGGTACATTTGAATCTGAGGTAGACTAACACACACACACACACACACACTTCGCACATCCTAATGCAATCAACTGCACCTGGCTTCCTCCATGGCTTCTCCTCAAAGGACTCCACATCCACCTGCAGGACATTGCCTTCAGCATCCAGATCCAGCCCTCTGGACTTGGAGCCTGACTCACAGCAGATAAGACTTTAGAGGCTGGATTCCCATACCCATATTAAACCAAACCCAGAGGAATATCCTAAAGGGATTCTCAGCAGCACAGTTCAGTCAGGCTTAAATTTAAGCTTCCTTCAGGAATGCATGATGGTAATATAAGAAATATAAGACATAGAATATGTATTTTATTATAAATACTCTGGAAATACTTCAACTTTTTGAATTGAAATGGTCTATAAGTTTAATAATAATAATTGTAATTAATTTTAAAGGTGGAATGTCACTTTACAGTGTTTCTGTGTAATGCAATAGGAGGCGTGATAGTCTCTCCATCTCTTGGGACATAGCTCCATATCATATTTTTATTACAATAACAACAGGGTACAAAATAGGGATGGACATTGGGATGCTAAGATGTGAAGTAATTTCATTTTCAAATTAATAGTCAGTGAAAGGAAATTCTTTTCAAATTAATGGTCAGTGAAAGGAAATTCTCAGGAGGTTGAACTACTAATTACATGAGCCACATTATTTTCTATTATTGATAAACATATATTTATAATAGGGTGGAGGAGTTCAGCATGAAAACATTACAATATTTGCAAAAACTGAGAAAATCAAATGAGACTATTTACTTGTCTGCCCACCATGCTGTCAAAAACGTCCAAATTATGTTACTTTGGGGGGAGGGGGGGGGGGTAATCCTGCATTATTTATACTTGCATTATTAAGTATAAATAATGCAGGATTGCACAAAAAAAATTGTAGGCCACATAACATTTTTGGTAATTATAATGAGCAAATATTTAAAAATAGATTGTACTGCAATGAATATCATTATTACCTGATACAGAGGTCTTTATGTTCAGACTAATGGAACTAGAACCAAATGACCTACAGAGTAAACCACAAACAGACCATTAAGTATCATTATAGCAATTTATTAGACCCAGAATACTTTAAGATGTCATCAGTATCGCTGTATGAAATGAGAAGACTTGACACGTTGACATATACAGTGGGTACGGAAAGTATTCAGACCCCCTTACATTTTTCACTCTTTGTTATATTGCAGCCATTTGCTAAAATCATTCAAGTTATTTTTTTTTCCTCATTAATGTACACACAGCACCCCATATTGACAGAAAAACACAGAATTGTTGACATTTTTGCAGATTTATTAAAAAAGAAAAACTGAAATATCACATGGTCCTAAGTATTCAGACCCTTTGCTCAGTATTTAGTAGAAGCACCCTTTTGATCTAATACAGCCATGAGTCTTTTTGGGAAAGATGCAACAAGTTTTTCACACCTGGATTTGGGGATCCTCTGCCATGCCTCCTTGCAGATCCTCTCCAGTTCTGCCAGGTTGGATGGTAAACGTTGGTG